AAATAGCAAAATCATGGCTGACAACAAAAAGATGCAAAACGGTAGCTAAAAGCTAATTTTAGCTAAATCATGGTTAAAAAAAAAGCAAAACTGTACATAAAAATCTATTATTAGTTAAATTGCAGCTCAAAGCTACAATTGTAAACTCATAGCTGAAAATTATTAAAATAGAAGCTAAAATTGAACAGAAGCTACAAATTAAAAAAGAAAAATCTAAACCTTAACTGAAGCTTCAAAAAGGCAAGTAGCTAAAAGATACCATTAGCGAAACCATGGCTAAAACAAAAAATCAGTAAGACAGTAGCTAAAAGCTGAACGCAGCTTAAGAAGACAAAACTAAAGCAAAAACGCTGAAGTGTATTTCAGAGAACGTTGACCTGAAGAGTTTTAATGTAATTCAATTAATTAAAGTTAAATAATTCAAAACGTACAAAAGTTACTGTTAGATTATGTTCTGATCTGAAGCAGGGAGAGGAGGAGCACTTGTCATCCATTTCAGAAGGTTTATTTTACCCACATGTAAAGTACAAGATCACAGACCTGGGCCAGTCTAACTCCACCATGACGTCACAGTAAACAGAAAACTCAACTTCTTCAGAGCTCGGCCACACCTCTCAGAAGGAGTCACCACCATCGACCAATGGGAAGCCCTACTCTTATCATGTGACCCAGCTCTCAACCAATAATATCTCGCCATCTTGTGTTCTATAATGGGTGGCTGTGTGAATGTTGGAAGTTGTAGGCATGTAACTAAAACTACAATTCCTACTCTGATCGTGTTTTAACACAACATCATTCTAAATAACAAAACAGGATACATATATCTAGACATTTCATTAAGTTAATATATTATCTGATAAAATTATATGTCATTACAAAAGCTAAAAGTCTCATCAAGCTGTTTTCGACCGAGCCGAACGTTTTGATGCGTGAACAAGCAAACCTACAAAATTATTCAAACATGAAAACAGTCAGAATCTACGATTTTCACGCGTTTCCTTTTCGTGCGGGTCGTCTCTGAAACCCGACGTGCTCTCTCTTTTCCCAGCATGTCTCAGGACGCCACGGGCTACGTGTGTCTCCTCATCCAGCCGACGACGAAGGACGACGCCGGCTGGTACACGGTAGCTGCGAGGAATGACGCCGGAGTGGTTTCGTGCACCTGCCGGCTCGATATCTACGGTAAATACCACGTCTGACGTCCGGTCCGTGCAGAAAGTCGCGCCGTAACGTGAGCTTGCTTCTCCAGCGCAGTGGCACCAGAGCGTCCCGGCGCCCATGAGGAAGGCCCAACGAGCGAGCGGCCGCTACTCGGCCCTGACGGGCCAGGGGCTCGACGTCCGGTCCGCTTTCTCCACGTCGGAGGCCAGCCCCTTCCTGTTCACCAGCAGCCCCCCCGAGGCCACGCTGGAGAGCGAGGAACTGTGACCGGCCCAGACGGCTAGAAGGAAGATGGCGGAACCGTGTGATGCGTTTGAAGTGTTCACATTAAAACAGCAGAAATAAAAGAGCTGTCAGCACTGATAGTGGATTGTTCACCATTCCTATATTTACTCACATTGTTTCAAAAGTCAAAGATTAGTGAAGTCTTCGCTCACGGGCCGCAGGTTTGTTTTACGAGAGGTCCGAAAGATTCGTCCGCTGCGACCAAGCGGTTCTGGTACCGTTTCTTTCTGCCGCCGATCACGTTCGGTTTTATCGGTTTTACATCGACTGTTGCAGTTTTTATTTTAATTCATATTAACGAACTAGAAAATAAAGATTAAATCTCATTTATCTTAAAGTCCACATCAATCGACACGGTTCTCCTAAAAAATAAAGTTTTGAAAATCTTTCAGTTTTTCTGACAAACAGAAAGTTTTAGTTTTTTAAAGGGATATTTCAAGCATTTTGAAGTGGGGGTTCTGTGGAAAAGTTGAAAACTGTTCAGGGGCACCACTAAGGAGGGACGTGCGGGGGTTAATTGGGTGAATTGGACGGGCCCCTTGTTGCCCACCCCCCCACCAGACCAAACGGTCATATAGGCGACGTGGGGAGTCCAAACATTTGTAATGTTTAACATTATTTTATTTATTTGTTTTTAATAAACGGTTATCAAAGCCAGAACAGGAAGTTTGGAACTTTGCTCACAAACAAACAAACAAAAAATAGGGAGAAGCCTCGAACCAGCCAAGCAGTTTGGGCCGCTCCCTTAAACCTATGATCTATGAAACTGACCCCGAGAACCAAAAACCCGGTGAACAGGACTGCCGTAAACTTCCAAACCCAGTCAATGATCGGAACTACAAGCTCCGTTCAAGGCTGGTGTCTAACGTCAACGGAGGGAGCGTGGAGAGGGAACCAACAACCAGCGGACATCAGGTCAACGCCTCTGACCTCTCCTCGCTTCCCCTTGCCTTAAATGTGGGCGGGGCTTGTTCCGTTTAAAGTGCTATCAGCCGATCAGATCTGGAAACGTAAGAAAAATAAACAGCCATAAAAACACTGAGACACGCGACACCATGTTTCAGACTGACCAGAGTCTGCTTGTTTGGTCCGTTTGAAGCCAGCCGAACCACTCTGGTGTGAAGCGCCCTTATTCTGACAGTCTTGAACAGGAAGTGATGTCACACAGGCCAGAATATCCCTTTAATGAGCCGATCTTCAGGGTCGCTTCAGGACTTGTTGAAACGTGAACCTGCCCCTCGACTTTCTGCATCAAAACTCTGAGACGTGTTTGAAAATAGCTGCGGTCCGTTTAGATTCTTTAAACATTCTTAAATAATCCTCAAAGTTCATCTTTGTCTAAATGTCATCAGCTGATGGAGAAGACAGTTAACAAAATAAAATATGTCCTTTCAGATTAAACAGCAGCCATTTGGGTTTTTAATTATAAAATGCCTCAGTTCTTTTATTTTTTATTTATCTTTTTAGTGAATTGAACAATCTTTGTATTTATCTCCAGTACATCTGCAGTTTAAGGAAATAAGTTGGATTAGACACAATAACAGCCAAAATGTTTGTTTTGGTCATCAGCTGTTACAAAAGTTAAGACTGAGTTTGATTTATTAAGTGTGAAAGCTTTTAAAACGGTTTGAACGCTTCAATTCATGTAAAGTTTGTAAAATACTTCTGTCCATCTTGAAATAAAATTATATTTATGCCAACGACTTGTTGTTTTATCTTTAACTACTAAATCCGCACAACTGTTTAAAAATACATCACTTTTTCCAGAACATCAATAAAACATGAAATTTCTTCGTATGAAAAAGTTGAAACTCGTCTTTGTCATCAGAACCAGATTGGCTTGAACTGGTTCCAGTACCAAACAAACCGGAGCTCTCAGGAGCCAATTAGGCGTCGTTAATAAGACCAATTAGAGTCGAAGGAGTTCAAACAGGCGTAAAATTACATTCACCTCGTGTGACCTCATTAGACACGAAGCCTCGTCTCACCAGCTGCCAGACCTACTTCGGTCTTTCTGTCGGCGATGAATCGAACGTTCGCTGTTTGGGGAATTTATTTGGTTTCATTACACTTGCAGCTTCTTTTCTACCCAGTGTCGTCACGACGTTTGGATTAATCTGTCGTTTTCAGCTCTCTGGAACTTCTGCACTAAAATAGTTACCACTTGAAAAGACAAAATGTGAATTATTTGGAAATTTGTTTTTCATTTTTCATTTTTCCCAGAGTCTGGATAAGTCTTAAAGCAGGGTGTAAAAAAGGCAATTAAAAAAAATACTCTTACCTTTTTTGTTTAAATAATTTTTCAATTACCGTATTTTCCATTGTATAAGTTGCAGTTTTTTAGATTTATAGATTTCAGTCCTGTGACTTATATACTTTTTTTTTTCTATATTCATAATGCAATTTTTGACTGATGCTTTAAATTTCGAAGAACTGCAACAACGAGTCCTCCCGTGCGCGTTTGCTTCACTCAGCTGGTGCAGGTGGAGGAACGCTGGAGAGCTAGTGGCTCCGGTTGCGATGGATGGATGGATGGATGGATGAATGGATGGATGGCGCCACACCGCCCAAGCAAAATGAAGCTGTTTTGATAATTAAATAGACGCATAATAAATATGACTTATTCAATTAAATTCAAAAATACTTTATAAATCCCAAAGGGAAATTAATTGTTGTTGTAGCTCATCCAGGTTTCATTAGAGTTGTTATAGATGCTGATGGCTGTGGGCAGGAAGGATTTCTTGTAGCAGTCTGTCCCACAGTGGATCCAAAGAAACTGGATGCCAATCCCTCCACCCAGACCCAGCAGACCTCTCGGTCCTCTTGGGCAGCAGGACCACCTGAATGCTGGACAGAACTCCTCCCCAAGTGATGGCCATTCCTCCCAGGAGCCTGTCGAGCTCCTCATCGCCGCAGGTGCTGGGGGGTGTTCTCGGTCCTCCCGCTGTCACGAGCCACGTTTCTCACCACCTCCAAGATCTCGGTGGTCAGGCACTTGAGCACCGCCTCCAGGTAGATGGGAATGCATCCACGGCACCTCCTTTTCAACTCATTTGGGATTTGGGGCTGTAGTTGAGATATTATTTGAGCTTTTGAGATGTTAATTAGCAACTCCCAGTTGCAGAAAGCCACCTTGTTGTCGTGGTTACGCATCATAACAAATGTCCAAAAGTAAAAAGGTTCCAGTAAAAATCCTTCCAGCGTCCAAAACCAGAGGAAATGTTCTTCCAAAAAAAAAAAAAAAGTGATTTACATCCAGAAAAAAAGAATAATTCAAGTTTTCAAAAGCAAAATCTCATAATAATAGAATAATGTAAGAGAGCTGCTCCGACATGCAGCCACCTTGAGCGGCGCAATTCTAGAATTATACTCTGAAGCGACTTGAATGTTTTTTCCTCTTCACGATGCTTTTTTTGACTGATGCGACTTATACGCCAGAAAATACGGTGCACGTTTTCTAACAATCGGTTGCTCAAACTAGCAGCACAGTGCTTTTCATGTTTTTCCATGTAAGGTGCATTCCAGCGACAGGAGGAACAAGATGTAAACACATTTTTAGGACGAGCTGTTTTCAGTTCGGCTCAAATAAAACACAAAACGGGACGAATCATGAAATTCTTGCGCTTCAGTTGTCTCCGGTGCTGTCCATAGTCAGAACTGTTGGCTCGCCATCTAAATCCATGGACTGACCCGGGAGAGTCCACGAGTTCTGGAAACCAACGGAGCACAAGGCCGATCGGAGTCGAGCGTGAAGCAGCTGGGATCAGGATCAGAACCTCAAGATCCGAGGACGTGGTCTTCACAGGGGAAAGGGACTGTCTTCTCCAGGTCGAGGATGAGGTTCTGCCTCAAGTGGAGGAGTTCAAGTATCTTCTGGGTTTTCTTCATGAGTGAGGGAAGAATGGAGCACGAGATTTACAGCATGTAAATTTCAGCATGTATTGTGGTCTCTGTGCCGGTCCGTTGGGGTGAAGAGAGAGCTGAGGTGGAGAAGCTCTCTGTTTACTGGTCGGTCTATGTTCCTACTCTCACCTATGGTCACAAACTTCGGTAGAGACTGAAAGAACTGGATCCAGGAGGCTGAAATGAGTGTCCTCTGCAGGGTAGCTGGACTCCACCTTAGAGACAGGGTGAGAAGCTTCGTTCTCCTGGAGAGACTTGAAGTAGAACCGCTGCTCCTCCACATCCAGAGGAGACAGCTGAGGAGGTTCAGACATTTGGTAAGGATGCTCTCTGGACGCCTCCCTAGGGAGGTGCGCCTGGTATGTCTGACTGGGAAGAAGCTCTGAGGAAGACCCAGAACTTTCTGGAGAGACTATGTCTCTCTGCTGGCCTGGGAACACCTTGGAGTCCTCCCAGAAGAGCTGGAAGAGATGTCTGGACCTCCTTGCTGAAGATGAGTCCAGAACCAGATGATGGATGGATGTGAACAGTTTCTGATTAATTCTACCAATATCTGCATGCGTGTATTTGAGTGAGAGCCAGGAGTAGGCGGAAGAGGGTCCAGAGAGGTGGTTAGAGGTTAATATTGTTACTGTTAAAGGCTTATCATGCATGGACAAATGAATAGAACACAAAAATAATTAGTTTCTTCAAAACAAAACAAGGACATTTGTTCAAAAGTTACACGTTTGTCTTTTCAAAACGGACACAAGAAAAAGTACAAATAAATGAGAAATGTTGAATTATTGTTGTCCAAGCTGGACTTTATAATCCGCCTGACCTCTGAGCCAGTCTCACCAGCCCTGCTCAGTTTCTGTGTTGTAGCTTGTTTACAGACGTTTTTAGCACATGATCAAAATTTGAAAGGTTCAGAATCGGAATAAAACGAGAAACTTAAACACCCTTTAAAAACGGATTCGTTGTTGTTTTGGTTTCTAGTTAACAAAAGGATTGTGCACAAAAAAACCTCCACATCATGGCTTCTTAAAAGCTCCGTGAATCGAGTCTTCAAGTAAAAATAAAAATAAAAATAAAAATCTGCAGTTGGAAAATATTTTTTAAAGCTTTTAAACCGTTTTCCGAAAAACTGAAGTTTTTTTAATCCAGGTCTCAGAGTGGAGGTTTCTGGAAACGTCCGGCGTCTGTGTGAAATCGTGCATGCGTACCATGCACAGCTGCCGTCAGCTGTTTGTCGGGGTGAGTTAGCGAACAACAAAAACGAGAGCGCATAGCAGAGTGCTGTTTGTGCTGCTCAGCGTGTAGGAACAGCCCGACCTCACCCTCGCTCCACACGTGTTCTTCATGTTTCCATGCTCGAGGCTGAAGCGTGTGAGCGTACTGTTGAAGCACAAAAACCACAGCGCCACCTGGAGACCTGGCATAGGAACTACAGCAGATTCAACGAGCCTGTTTCACTTTGTAACTTTTCCACAATTAACATTGGAAAAGTGCAAAGTTTTCTAGAGATGGTTTACGTGTAAACAGGGTCTAAAACTGGTGTCCAGTCGTGGTCCTCCAGTCCACATCCTGCATGTCTTAGATCAGCGGTGCCCAATACGTCAATCTCAAAGGGATTGTGGGTAGATGGCATTAAAAAAAACAAGACATCAGCCGATCATCATCTCTGAAATTTGTCTCTTAGGGCAGCCGGTCTGAGGCCCTGTTAACACAACAGTTATAATAAATATAACAGTTATAATAAATATAACAACAGTTATAATACATATAACAGTTATAATAAATAACAGTTATAATAAATAAATTATAATAAATATAACAGTTATAATAAATATAACAACAGTTATAATAAATATAACAGTTATAATAAATAACAGTTATAATAAATAAATTATAATAAATATAACAGTTATAATAAATA